ATAAATGACTATATATGCAGTAGCTTTAAAGAAGCTTGCTCTTATCTTGGTCTTCTTCAGGATGATACAGAATGAGATGCCTGTTTGCTTGAAGCAACTTTTATACAGACAGGACACCAATTACGACAGCTTTTTGCAACTATACTTTTATTTTGCCAATCTATAAAACCTGAGTTATTATGGAATAATCATAAAATTGCATTGTGTGAGGATATTTTATATCGAGCTCATGTACAATTACAAGATCTTGAAGATGCAAGTAATATTTCTGCTACAATTGAACATAAAGCTCTTACTCAATTGAAAAATATACTTTTACTAAATGGAAAATCTTTAAAAGATTTTCCTGATATGCCAATTCCCTCTATTACTTCAAATATTAGTAATAATAAAGAAGAATTAAATCATTTAATATGTGAAGAGAGGTCTTACAATATAAGACTTAGAAACTGAATTACAACACAATATACCTTTGTTAAATAATGATCAATGTGCAGTATTTAATACTGTTATAAGAGCAATTGACAATGAAGAAGGAGAATATTTTTTTATTGATGGATCAGGTGGTATAGAAAAAACTTTTTTATATAACACTTTACTAGCAAGTGTTAGATTATGTCGTCATATTGCTTTGGCAGTAGCCTCTTTAAGAATTGCAGCACTTTTAATAAAAGATGAATGTACAGCTCATAGTTATTTCAAAATTTCACTTAAACCTAATGAATCTTCTACATGTAATATTTCACGGAATAGCAAAGAAGCTCATTTAATCAGTATTGCAAAACTTATTATTTGGGGTGAAGCCCCAATGACCAATAAATTTGCATTTGAAGCTCTTAATTAAACATTTTGTGATATTATGCAAGTAGATAAACCATTTGGTGAAAAAGTTATTGTTTTTGATGGTGATTTTCGTCAAATACTACCTGTTGTACCTCGTGGCTCCCGTGCAGATATTGTTTTAGCTAGCTTATCCTGCTCTTCATTATGGAGTAATATGAAAATTATGAAATTAACAATTAATATGAGACTTCAGCAAACTAATGATATCAATAAGAATCAAAGACAAAAAAATTTGCTGAGTTTCTTTTACAAATAGGAGATTGAACATACCCAATTGTTGCAGATACAGAAAATAGAATAACACTCCCTTCTGATATAGTTGTAGCTGGTAGAATATTATCTGATCTTATTGATAATGTTTATCCAAATTTCATTCAAAACTCTAATAATATTAATTACTTAACTGAAAGAGCTATACTAACTTCAAAAAATAGCGATATTGATATAATTTTTGATTTAATGATAGATCAGTTTCCTGGTCCAATTTCTATATATCCCAGTACAGACTCTACAGATTTAGCAAATAATGGAAATGTTTATTTATACTCACCTGAATTTTTAAGATCTTTAAAAATCTCTAGTCTTCCTCTTGGTAAATTAAAGTTAAAAGCTGATATATCTATAATGCTTTTACGTAATTTAAATCCAGCAGAAGAACTTTGCAATGGAACTTGCTTAATTTGTCGAGCTCTTTATAGCAAAGTAATTGTTGCTGAAATTATTACAGGATCTAATATTGGTAAATGTGTATGAATTTCATTATCACCTTCTGATACCAAATTACCTTTTATTTTAACAAGACGCCAATTTCTAGTACGCCCTGCTTTTTCTATGACTATTAATAAAGCACAAGGTCAAACATTAAATCAAGTTGGTATCTATTTACAAAACCCAGTTTTTTCACATGGTCAATTATATGTTGCTTTATCAAGAGTTACTTCTTATCATTCTATTAA